TTTGGGTGCCACATGCCGCAGTTTCACGACGCCTAATGAAGCCGTCTGCTACCCTTCTACTTCCCCATACTCCCCACACTCCTGGTGGACGCTAGCATGCACTGGTCAGCGTACGCTGACGCAAAGATGAGCGCAACCTTACGGTGCCTCCAAGACTCCTTGTGGAAGTCCATTGCGTACACCATGACTTGGTTTTGATAAGGACTGCCTTGTCCTTGTTCTCGTGCTGCCCTCTTGCTGTTCAGCTTTAGCCGAGGCGAGGAATCAGTAAGGGGTATCTCGAGTTCTTACAGGAAGATCTTAAAAGTAATGGGAATTTCAAAACGGTATGTTGCATGTTGTAGAAGCTCATGCGGGAAACATAGAAGTGCAACTCACTTTCGCTGCGTTTCTGGCAGTACGAGGAAGGGGCGAAAAAGTTCTACGGACTTTACGACGAACTCGGCCATAGAAAGCTATTCCGTTTTTGAAAGGTTTCGCAGCAAACTAAGTAAGAATTAAAGCACTTGGGCCTATGGGTTGGCCCACAAGTAGGCATCTGGCCTACGTAAGGCCATGTCCAATATTCCAAAGCCTCAGATCACAATGTTTCGTTGATTAACTGTAGACCGTTTTAGGAGCCGACGTCAAAGCAGCAAGCGAACCTATCAGCACTTCCGCAATCTCCATCGTCACCGCTGAACAAGTCACATCCTCAGTAGTACAGCTGACTGATTGAAGGAGATACTGATCGGTTATGAGGGCACATCGCAGAAAACACTGTTATCTCAGTGACTCTGAATGTGTGAGGCCATATGAGAATATTGAGAATCTTTTTTGATTCCCTTGGTGACCTTTCATCTATGGAGAAGCCCTGCAGAGGCAGCTGAAGAAATTTTCTCAAAGCATCTCTGTAAATCCCCTGTGCATAAACCGATCGCTGGCTGTTTGTTGTTGTTTTTCTCGTCTTCCTCTGAACTTCATATGCTCACCGATTCTCTTACCTGAACTTATTGTTATCATCGTTATAGTCGCAATTTTGTGATAATTGCTCCTTTATACTTGTTGTATAGGTTCGGCGTTGTATAATGTTAAGCGTGCATATCGCACGTACTACCAAACATCCCTACTTTCTGTTATTATTATGGTCGTCATCTCATCATCTTTCTTCTATTATTGCGCTTATATTGGCTTTATGATAGCATCCCAACGCGTCCAGGTGCCTCTATTATAGATGTATGATGTTGTTTCATCCTTATCCGGTCGAGTCAAAGCGCACATATGCGCGTTATTCAACTGCTTCTAGCGTGTGTGGTACGATATTACCTGTTTTACAGTACTTTACTGTTTTTTTTCTAGAGTTTTCGGTCTTTAATCTATGTGTGTGAATGACCGAGGACATATCGTGTTCTATGATTATAGATCTTCGAACTGAATGCGTTCTAATTTATATGTAACCCACTCCCCTAATATCCCTTTCCGTACCGCTCATGACCTATCATATGCTTTGTGCTGAACCAATCGATAATCGATTAGCAGCGCTGATCGTTTCAAATTGTTTCGGATGTATATGTTATGTGATATATAAGCTGTTATTATCCACGCATTGCGATGGATTCCATCGTTCCCCGTTTAACTGGTTCTCATGTCTGTTTTGTCATTGTCATCAAGAGTTAAACTAGAAGTGTTCTAAACAGTACTGAAATGCACTGTAAATGAGAAAGAGATGTGCTGCAAAAAAAAACGTCTAGGCTGCTCCATGTTGTTTTTGAAATTGCATAAATGTTTATATTATTATTTTGATGCATACATACTATCGGTCCACGGCATCATTGTGTGAATTCAGTCAGGGGACCTGGTGGATGGATGAGAGCGTGCATCTGCGGTACCTAATCCGGACCAGGCAGAACGTTGATATAGTCATGGCCCACATCCTCTGTGGGGACGTATGGCGCATAGTAGGATACATTAAAGGCAATTCCCACGATCAAGTGTTGCGGGTAGTTGGTGCTCCGTCATGAACCATATCCCAATAGAAAAGAAAAGTAGAAAAGAAAGCGGAAAAAACCTCGGGAGCACCTTGAACACAGACTTCACCCCAGCAGTCTTGGACGAGTAGTACGTCGAGCGCGGATGGTGCGCTCTCCATTAGCATTGCGAACGTAAAGCTTGAGCGTGGGGCGTGCGTTAGTGCCAGGCACATCCTGCCCAAGCGATGCTATCTCCGTGTGCGGATGTTGAAGGTCTAGGAACAAAATTTTCAGCCTTTTTCTTGAAAAAGCTCGGTGGTAAAACTGGCCTGATGTCGGAAAGGAAAGAAGGGAGTTGCATATGGCGTCCCATCTGAAAGAATCATTAGGCAAGCCCGAAAAACACACTAACTGCTCTTCATTTCTTATTTCCTCTTGCCATGAGTAGGAAAACGAACTAGCTGCCCTTCAGATCACTCCTATCATCGCTTTGCAGAGGTGTGAACTCAAAAATGGTTTGCTGCCTCTCTTGTTCACGTATTGGAATTGCCTTGCAAAGCGACCATATGGAATCCAGAACAGCTTGCCCTCTTCACCAGTTATATTTAAACGGTACCAGATTTGCGTTAAGCGCCCGGTGAAAATCCCGCATGGATCCACGAAGATGCAAAATGTCAAAGCGACCCGCCGCGCCACACGTGCCGCACGGTTGTTGTAGAGATAGAGGCTGCTCTCGAACCGATGCCTCGTCTCAGGGCACATCGTTGGTTTGGAATCCCCAACAGGGGGGTCGTATTTGGCCGCCAGGAGAGGGGGTCGTAGTGAGTGCGGCAGCCAGTAACGAGCAGCGCAAATTGTCAATGTGCTGCAGTCCTGTACGCGAACTTGCTTGTAGAAACTCGAGATAATGCAAAAAAATAGAGTACAAAACTTTCACTCATCAAACTAATCCGAAATAACTGCAAGTATTACTAAGTCGACATCATCTCGGTCCGTTGATGACTAAACAGTACAAACAGTCAAACTCGTTTTCTGCAATGATATGGCGGTCCTGCGGCTGCGGCGATTGGCGCTGATGCCAACCTGTTTTTTCAAGCGGCAGGACTACCATATCGTTCGTATAGACGTTTTCCAGCAGTCGGTCTCCTTTATCGGAGTCAACAATTGGCGAGCACGAATCTGCAGCCGTCGACAGGGAATGTTCATCATAACGCACGGAACCAACTGTAAACATGTGCACAGGCTTCGCATGGGACCTCCCTGAAATCCTTAGATAATTTGCCGCGTGGACAGACATTTAGCCAAAATTGCACCATCCATCACTTCTGCGCGGACCTCAGTGCGCGGCGCATCCAAAGTCAGCGTGATCGGCGCTAAACGAACCATATTCTGCTCCTGCTCCACCACAGGATACGTTTTTCATGCGTTCCTGGTTATTCGAACACGCTCACTTGAACGCGGTACACAAAGGAAACGGTTTTTCGCGCAGTCGGAGTACCTGCTCGATGAAATCCCATCCAGATCTCATGAATCCCAAGGACTTCCAAAACAGTTCAATAGGTTTTTAGAAAGAGCAAGTCTTCATACACTCGAATCCGTTCTCAGATTTGTGAAATGTTGAGTTACAAAAAATATATTGATTCAAACTATCCTGAAAAAATCCCATCGAACTCACCTATATGTACTTCTCTGTGATCTTTGCGGCCCTCATAAAGGTATGCAGCTTGTTGGAAAGTTGAAACCTTCCTCTACACGAATACGCTCTCCCGTTCCCCATAGGTCCACTTTTGAGGAAGTTATGGTCCTTCAAAGACACCCTACCTTGCTAAAAAGTCGCGTTCGACATGGCTGGTCCGCCAGAATCCCTTCCCCCGGTACCTCGGCCTTAAATCAGCCGATGTGTCTGGTTTGCTCTCGTTCGTATTTACTCTTTCGTCTTTATCTTCTCGGTTTATCGAATATCGAATATTTATCTTCTTCTCGGTTTACTCGAATATCGAATATTTATCTTCTTATCAGTTTACTCGAATACGCGTCAGAGCGCGCCCAGCAATTTTGCTTGGACCGCTCAGAGTGCTTTTAGGAGAAGTTGGCTTAATTTCCTGTTTTTTTCTTTAATTGCAATTGATTTAGGTACCAGAGTTTGTTTTGACTCGAGGGAAGGTGGGTGAAACCTAATGGCCTTTCTTTTCTATTCTCTTTTCTGAATTAGGATAGAAATGAGCAGAAAGCGAGCGGCTATTCAGAATTGTTACTTTTTCATTTTCGCGCTTACTTCATACAAACTTATGAACGTTCTTCCTCCTTCAGGCGGGGGGGGGGGGATAAACTTCTAAAGCTTAGGTATAGGGGTGGCGTACGAACCCCGAAAAATGGGCGGGGGCTCGTCACGCGGCTTCCAATCTTCCATCGAATTGCTGTGCCTGCCTGCGTCGCCTACCGTATCAGCTTCCCTAGCGACGCTTGGCGGAAAATCGCTGCTAACTTATCGCGCGCATAATTGAGGCGATGAAACAGTACGTATCATCTTATAAAGGGCGTAGAATGTTTTTCAAAAGCCGAAGCACTTTGAGCGACCTTTTGATCGCGGGGACGTCTTTAAGACAGCGCCCGCGATGGACTTTGGCAGGTCTCAGGGTCAAATTTGTTAGAACAGGTGGCCAATGAAGCACTAATCAAAAAAAAGTAGGAAAAAGGTGTGGAAGAGCGTGAAATAAGACCCTACGAAATTTAAGGCATGTGGACGAGTTTCGCAGACCTTTGGTGAGTTCTCCAATACACGTCGCCGCCTCGGAACTCCAGAAACTTAGCGTTTATCAATGCCAGCAAGCACTGATAACTGTTAACCAGTCTGGCGGATTAACAGAAGGATGGCGTTCAGCTCATCTTGCTTGATCTCCGCCCATCGTCAATCACATACATTTCGAGCGCAGAGTGGGATATAACCGCTAATGGTAGAACAACTCGCGTTCGTTTTCATTGGAGGTTTTTTCACCTTTTGATCGCGGGGAGTGTCTTTAATTGGGCAAAAGCCTGTCAGACGACACGGGCATGTTGGGTCTAACTCCGAGACCAGATGTCTATGCTACGCTTTGGTATAGAGAGAGAAGACTAAATAAAGAAATGACCGATTGATTGTGTGCTTGCTGCTACATAAAAGAACAAACTATTAACCAATGTTCATATGGAACTGCTTCTTAAAACACCCAAGAAATGATGCAGTACATCAATGATGTTACTACTGTCCGAAAAGTTTTGACAAATTCCAATCATTTCGTTTAATACTTATCAACAACATAAAGAGACAAGAGTCAATAGTTATGATGAACGTTGTCCTTTCAGTTCTGCTCAACTCTTAGGCGTGATTACTTTGCGTGAGAGCTGAAATGAAGCGAATACCGAAAAAAATGGGGGTGGGAGGACGTTTCATCCAGCATCTGTGACAGGGCCTCATCCCCAGTTTTACTGATAGAGCGGTCATAACGGAGAAACTGAAGTAAAAGGCTTCGGGAGTCATGACGCTCGTACATACATTTTTCACTCAATATTAACTCCTACAACGACGCAAAATAACATTAACTAATGTCGTAATCGATCTACAAACTCTCCTCTTTCTCAAAGCATTTGGTACACGATCCTACTATATATAATCCGCTAAGTGTGTGTGTGTGTCACGAAATTCGAAATTCATAGCATCCGTCCCAGTGGCAGAGAAATGTTGGTTCTAGGACGTGATGGAGGGGGTGTGACAG